ACCAAGCGGAAAACAACACCAACAAACGAGAAAGAGGGCCAACAACACAAGCCAATGCGGGCAATCGAAATAAAGTGAGGCAGAAATGCCAACATGCAAATCGAAGAAAAGTGAGGGAAAGTCCGCCTGTGCATTGTGTGTGGCCCATGATGGCTTAGTTTTCACCATTGTCGTTATAGAGCCGCATCGACGAAACCCGTTGGCAGCATCTTGGGTCATTTGCAAGCCGGCTCGCTTTAGCTTTGTCTGCGTATCACTGGCGCCTAAAAGTATGCGGCAACTTACACACCCATTCACACACACACACACACACACACTCCATTTAACGGTCATTGACGTTTGCGTTTAATTAAAGCGATTGCATGCCTTTTCGCATGTGTGTGTGTGTGTGTATGTGCTTGTATTACAAGGATATCGCTTTAAGAGTTGTGCTTATATTAACTCAACACGCCAACCACTCTTTTAAATCAGAAAATTAAGTGACGGCCAAAGTGTATTGTCAATCAGGAAATTAAACAAGTGACTAAAAGTGGTTCAAATTTCATAGGAATAATAGAAAAGCTAATTATAAATATTGGTTTTCAAATGAAACACTTTATTTTAATTGACCTAGAGCTCTATATTGTGAACAATAAATTAAGTTATTTATTATGTATTTGTTTGAAGCTTATGAACGCATTTAAATGTTTTCGTGATATTTATATAACAAAATGGAATATTATATGTTCATATATTTTACATTTTACATTTACGGCTTATTGTTATAATTTCATAGTTCTTTTCAACACATCTATTTTGATGCATTTATATATATATCTTTTTTTATATTCTTTAAATAAATATCTATCACGAAAATGTTAGGGATAGAATTGAATAACTTCAGCTTAAAACAAAGCTGCCACCTCATCTGAATACATAACTAATATACAAATATTTTGTGTGTTGTGCTTTCAAGGTAACTTGTACATTAATTGACGTAAGGCCCGCTGAAAACGAATAAGAAACGCAATTAAATTAATAGCTCGATATACAACAAAAAAAAAAGTTATTTATACAAGTACAAAACGAAACAGAGAAAAATTGTCAGACATTCATGAAAAGCGAAAAATCCAGCTCCTATAAGGTCTCGTCAATGTGCCAATATAAAAGTCGGCGTAATGCAACGTAATCAAAAATAAATCGGACAATTATTAAATAAAATGCTCGTGTACAATTGTCGGCCAAAAAATCTTTGTAACCGGTTGCCTCCTGACACATGCCCGAGTGTTAATATCTGTGTGTGTATTTGTGCGCGTGTATGAGTACACCAAAACAGCAAAAAGAAAAAGTATAAAAAATATAAAAAAAAAACCATAAGAAAACAAAACAAGCATAGGGATACGAGCGCTTAACAGAAAAGGATTTTTACTGCTGCAGCCAAAGGCCGGCAAGGCCACGGACTAACATTGATAAAATCAACAAAAGCATCCAGAGCAGTCAGAGCGCTGAGGATTATTATCAACAAGAACAACAACTGGTAACAGTCGTAAAAGCAAAGCACTGGCGTCAGCAATGCCCATCAGGAGCAGAAGTGAGAGCATTACAAACGCTTCCATATAGAAAGTTCTCACAAGGTAAATCAAGCAGAAAAAAAAACAAAATAACAAAGGAAAATGAGCTTAAGTTGTCAATTGAAATGCAAAGAACTGTCCAAAACATATCATTACAGATTGTTCAATACAAAATATCCTTTTTTTCTGTTCGACCCTTTCTTTGGGCGTGTGTGCATTTCAGGCGTCAAGTGAATTTATAATGTGATTTAAACACCAATTTCAGCAGGGGTACTTTAAGGTTTATATTAAAGAAACAGAAACGGTTGTTTATACAATTTATACATTTAGAAACATTTATGAATGAATGCGCACTTTAAATGTACATTAAAGAAAGAGTGTGGAAAAGTCAACAGCTGTTACTATTTGATTCATCCTCTACTTTAAATGTACTCTAAATATGTACACATAATAATAATCAGGTACGTCAGGTACCTTACTTACCTCCTGTTATTTAATATAACTTCTCACTTTAGCGACTTTTTGCTCAGTTTTAGTTTAATATTGTTGCAAACTCTCGTAAATTTGCAATTAATCAGTATCAAATTAGTGAAAATAAATTTCATCGAATGCTACATATATGATATTCAATAGCCTCTGTTTTCTGTCCTCTTTCATGATTCTATTCCCTTTGAATCGTTGTTAAACTTTGTTCAGTCAAAAGATTAATGGTCTTCAACAAAAATGACTACATTAATTTAATACATTTGTATATAATATATCCATTATATACAATAAGGTACAGAATCAAATATTTTTAAAGTAATCGCAATCTGCTATTTTTAAGACTGTAAATCATTATTTGACCGCAAATAAGAACAAGACATATGTCTTGTGTTATATATATATATATATATATATATATATTGTAGGGAACCCACAAGTCATTTTGATGAATGCTTTAACTATCTCTTTAGAATTCATTTAATAAATTAAAAGAGTCGCTTAAAGTGAATATTAAATTATATGTGTTTCAAGCATAATAGACATTTGATTTTACCACATAAATGTCAGCATTGCTTAAAGTCGTATAATTTGAAGTAGTCAACTAGACGCAATAATCAGTACTTGACCATATCAATCAAGTGATTCTTTATACATTATACACCGTCAAAGAATGAAAATCAATTCAATGAAGATAAATGAGTTGAGTTGTGCGCTCAGGCTTCATAGTCGCGACGTCGCGACGCGTCTGTTATCCATGAGCCGACTTTTACTTGTCATTGCCACAAATAATAAGCGATTACAATGCCGTAAATCTAGGCAACAATAACAACGACAACAACAACTACAATAGCAGACTGAGCAATAAGCAATGTGAGTAGAGCAAATAATCTTTGCCAAACACCACAGTCACGTGCCCCACTGTCGTGCAGACGTAGGTGTCACCCCAAAGGAGCAGCGATTGCTGAGACTATCGAAGGCGCATATAATAGGGATGGTGATAGGAAAGGTGCCATAATTTAGCAGGATGCCAGGGCACGTTGCCGGCTTGTCATAAAAAGTTAACGCCTATTACTCATACGTCGTGTCGGCAGTGGGCCGTGGGCCGTGGGCCGTTGGCTGATGAGCTACGCTTGTGTCGAAATCAAATTAATCATTCTGCCAATGTTTTAGAGGATTTCTCTCTTCTTAGCCTTATCGGTTTAGCTGTTTCTTACTTCTATCACGTTTTAGTATATTTAGTCGTCGCAGGTGTTGTCATTCCGTTGGATTCACTCAAGGCATTTGGAATAAAGGCTCACCATTTCGAAAAATGAACGCTAGTTGATTTTTTTTTCCTTCTTTTGCCGAACTTTTTTATTGGACGCAAATGCATTTATGTAGACAGTCAGACGATTGTATTGCTGCTATTAAATATTTGAGGACAGTGCATTTCTAATTACAAGTCGCTGCCATTTGCTTGCCATAAATTCCATTTTATTGTGTTGAGATTCACTGTGCCAAACTTTTACAAACAACTGTCGTTAGAAATATTTTTGTAATTGTATTTATATATTTTCTTGTACAATTATTCTATATTCGAGGGAAAAAAATGTTGTTTGTAATAAAACCATCTGCATATCTTTTAAACAGTAGTATTTCAAATAAAATTGGATATTTATGTTGTTGACTGTACTGGGCTTGACAAGTGGGCTGAGAAAATTTTGAGCGCAGTTTATGTTTGATATCGCATAATATAAGTAATAATATAATAGGTAATAACAAAAGCATGCGTATATTATGTTAAGAAATTCCAAATTTTACATTTAGTGTCATACAAAAAATAAATACATCCTTAAATTTACAAACAATTTGATTATACAAATTAGTTTTAAACGTAGTTCATTAAATGAAATTAAGTGTAAAATGTCAATCAATAAATCACACAATTCACACTTTTCGACAAAATTGTAATACTCTTTGGAAAGTTATTTTTATTGGTTTTTACTTGTATATTGCCTAAAAACATTGACTGTTGAAAATTTTGCTCTTGTACGAAAGCTCCTGATTGTTTTTGAAGACGAATCCCTGTAGTTACGGAATTAATGAAGCTTCAAACCATATTAGTATCCTCATTTTACTACATCATATATCTCTTAGCGAAAACTGTCACGTTGTTGTATATAATTATAAATCGGTATTATATTTGTATAATGAATTTGACGGCAATGGGATTAAATAATCGATGATGTTCATACTTGATTAATGAAATACAAATTAAAATAATTTCAATGAGACATATCTGTAATAATTTTTGTTTGTTTATTTGATTGAATTTAATTTGTTAAGTATCATCAGTTGATATTTATTTGGTGTGACAGCTCTAAGTGGATCAATTTTGAATTGCTCGAATTAGTCGGAGAAAGAACTAAGCCACCTTGTCAATCATTTGCATATGCTGCAGCTGCTGGACGCCAGGAAACAATGCTGGCTGCGCTGCCCATTAGCCATTTTTTTCAGTTCGAGGAACCCCAGTAATTATCGAAAATTAAACATAATTTATTTGCAGCAGAAATAGTTTTTTTTTATTTTTTCCTTTGTGAACAACACTTAGATATAATTATAACTATTTATTGTTGGTTTTCAGTAAAATCCTAATAGACTTTATCGATACATTTCAGGCAATAATTCAGTTTCCAGAAGAAAATTGATATGACATGACATAAAAAAGAACAAAGTTGGACATATTAGACAAGTAAGAACGCTGTAGTCGAGTGGGCTCGACATGCGACCACATATTAATGTACACAGAAAATACGTGCGCTTGCTAATTGAAATGGGGATACATTTTCGATGGCAACTTGAGCTCTTATTATCCGAGCTTTATGCATATTGCACACGTTATACAGTTAATAATATTTCAATGTTTATTAAATATTAATTAGAATCCACTGCGTTCAAACTTTACAATTTTATTGCCATCGGAAATTAAATTTTGAATTCGAATGGTTGTATTGTTAATATTGATCACAAGTCGTCATGTAATCGATAGTGGAGCTAATAAAATCTCTATTATAGTAGCTGGTCGTATTCATAAGGACAACGTTCTTAGAGCATCTCTGTTTGTCTAAGCCTCTGTTTGCGAAACTCACCACACCATACAAGCAGAAGCTATCAGCCCTCGTTTTAGTATGCTTATGATAGCAGTTAGTGATGAATCCGCTTCCACTATCACCTTCGCAAAGATATGCTCCCGTCTTAGCTGCTATGTCAATTTGATGTTCGCTGGTATTGTTCAATACTCCAGACTCAACCATGGTCAACCTTAAACTATTTGTTCCGTTGGAAAGGGAACACACCTCGGCCACTGTGTTCCCCATCTCGTACATGTATTCATCGAACTGCCAGGGTAAGCAAATAACTTTTGCTTTATTTCTGTCTACCGAAGTTAAGTTCAGTTTTAACAGAGCGGTATCAAATGCCATCGTAGAAGGATCATAGTTCCTGGAAATCAAATGAATGGTCCCTGATTGATAAAAATAAGTCTAAAAAAATTATGATTTTGTGATTTTAATAAATGCATTTTTAATTATTATTTTTTTTTTTTAATACCGAAAAGAAAAGTTTAATTTGGGTCATATGGGGAGCGAGAATATGGATAAAATTGACTATCGCATCTCCCTCCACACTTTTAGAGATTGAGCTACAAAATTTTGAAAAACAATTAAGCGGGTATAACACTGGTATCAGAAAATACAGCAGTCGCTCACGCCCGATAGCAGCGTTAATAATGAATATAATACAAAAATAATAATAATAAGAGTAAATAATAATAATCAATATTGTGAAATCAAATTAATAATCATTAAGTTGTTATATTTATAAAATGACCAATAGTGTTTACGGTTCCGAAAAATAAGTACTTACCGATTAGTCTCAATTTTTGAAACTGCCCAGCCATAATCCTCACCAACTGTACGATTAACATTTGTTGAGCCTCCCACCCGATAATGTGCTAGTTTAATGGTATCGTTAATTAGCACACAATGTGCGGCAGTCAACACAATGTCGGGCTTCACACGGACCCCACCACATATTTTCTTGTAGCTATGTTCCTGATCCTTCGCATAAATGACAACGGTCCACGGCGAGATTTCTGGCTCTATGGGAGTACCGGATGTCGCCAAAGGTTTTATTGTATTTGTGTGAAGATGACCACAATCAAGTTCACAGTATTTATCCATATCAAGATTTTCCGACCAAGTTCCATCCTCCTGGCATGTAACAGCTATATTCGTCTCCGTTGCATGTTTCTTCCATCTATATCCGATATTACATTCGAAACCTACTTCTGTGCCTGGGAGCATTGTCGATTCGCATTGGACGAGATTACCGTTATATTTGCATGACCGCCGCATTGAATCGCTGCAGAATAACTTATTCCGTTGACACGTTTCTGAAAAAGTAAATAAGAGAATAAGTACCAACAAAATATACTATAGCTAACAAAAAAAAATCGAGCTAACATGTAGATTATCACACTAAAAAGAATATCATTGCGAAAATCATAAAAGTTTTAAATTTTCAAGAAATTATTTTTAAATTTTCTTTCTATCTAAAAAAAGAAAACATATATATATTGTAAAAACGTAATGCTCGATTTAGAGTCGCTGTCGATGTCGTAAGTTATCTCAAATTGAATTATACAAATTTAAAGACTGTTTTCAATTACATAAGTATATATATATATAATATACCAGAGAAAAATGCGATTAATTTAAGAATAGTTTGAAAACATTTAACGCACATTATTTTGGAAGTTGGCTTCAAATGTTTAAAAAAAAAACCCTTCATATTTTTGGCAGGACTCTCCCAATCGTTTGATTTATAAATTAATTTTCGCAACCGTTATTATTTTGTATACTCTTTGTTTTTGATTATGAACTATACCATAGTATATTGAATTTGATTTTTGTCGGTCCATCTGTATGAGCCCAACTTTTTTGGACACCCTTAAAGCTAGAGTCTTGAAACCTGGAACATATACTGGTCTGTGCCCACGTCAGACAAAGTGTAGAACTTGAAGTAATAGAAGGCTAGGAAATAAACAATATAGATCATCGCAAATCGAAAAAAACACATATTTCCCACAATTTAAAGGGTTCTCAATTTGTAGGTAGGTTATTAGTGATGTCCTTTCAATATCGGCATATACCATATGGCCATATAGCCGTCTTTAAGAATCGATAGCAGATAGGATATAGCCGCCTGTAATTCCCAAAGCCGATATTTCGGAAAGTGTAAATCGATAAATCCGCATATCCAGCAATTTTAGAGATAACGTCAGCAAAAATAGATGGTAAACTTGCTGGTAACTTTCTTTAAAGATCGGCGTATACATTTTCGATAAAAGCATCTAGCATCTTCCATTAGAGTTAGCAACCTTGGAAGGAAGACTACTAGGATTACCTCCAACATTTTCTGATGACCACGCCTACGACCACTGCCAAAATTCTCAGAATTCTCAGAGTTCACGCCCACTCCCGTCCACAAGAAATTCACAAAAGCTATATCTACTGCAATTTTAAATACAAACTTTTAGAATAGATTATTAGGAACCTCCTTCAAAGATCGGTATTTCTTGGCTACACCCACCATGTTCTACGCCACCTGCTATCAGATGGTATGAATTATTGGTATCAGAGTATTTCGTAACGAGTAACGTTCTCTCTTGTTTTATTATTGTGATTTTTGAGGTACTTACTGATACAGCGAGGATTTTCGTGTTTGTCCCACTTCTTATTCTCACAATGCCTCCTCACATACGGTGGCGACAAAGTATAACCGTCAATGCATGCCAATTGTACTGACATATGTTTAAGAGGTGGTAACGTCGTTTTTTTGCAATCGTACCTATAGCAATCGCCTATAAGCATGGTCTCATTATCATAGTTGTCTATTGGGCACCCATTGGTCCCGTTCGTGTTTGGATCAAGGTTCTGAGGCTTTGAACTACATACTGGGAGATCGTGCCGCCAGTCTCCCGTATACTTACATACATTCTGCCTAATGCCAAGAAACTTATCTTTCTTAACGGAACACGAGAAACTAACATTTTGATTGGCATATACAAATCGGGATCCGTTTTCAAAATGAAATTTAGTATCTTCTGTAAATTCCAAGTTCCTCTCTGTTGGCTCGTAACAAAGCTTCGGAGCATTTCCTCTCCAGTGCTCTTTATATTTACACATATTCTCCAACTCATCAGAAGCATCGATACAATCAATATTTCCGTCGCATTCCTGGTTCTTGCTTAGGCATTTTCCATTGGCGCATCGATAGTAAGGACATGTTTTATTCTGCATACATAACTCCACAGATTCGTCCCGACCATTACTGCAATCGTGCTTCTCATCGCACATTTTGTGCTGCGCAATGCATTCGCCTTTCATGCACTCAATTTGATCACTAAAAAAACGAATTAAACAATTGCGTTGTCAGAAAACGATATCCACTTTCATAAGCCAAACCCCATATTTATATGTTCGAGATGCGTTCGAGAAATTTTGACTTTTGTATATGACTTTCGCATTCCTTCTTTTGTTAACTATATTAAAATGCATTTTCAAATATTTAATTATTTTATAATTTGCTTGAATTAAATAAAATGAAATTAAAAAAGGCGGAAAATCATTTCACATTTAAGTTGACTCATACGTATTTTCTATTGCTTGGCTTCCAATTTTTTTTTGGATAACTATAGAGTAAATTATAATTCAATGCAAATTTCGAGTTTTAAGAAAACGCCCAAAAGGTCGTACTCCATTTTTAATTTTTCTATTATATTAATAAAGTATAATGAAACTAAATTAAAATGAAATCGCATATGCTTATGATATTCGTACTTGAAAAGGAGAAAAAATACTCTTATGGTCTATAATTCTTGCTTTTGTTCTTTTGCACTCTCAAATAATGACGCAGTGCATGTTTGTTGGTAATGTAAATGTTCATGAAGAGCGCCTTAAAATGACACCCATACGGAATAACACATTTACAAATTGATAGGAAGCGGAAGAGAATGTATTAAAAATGTATTTTCCAAATTTGAAGTATCAAGCTTTTATACTCCCTGAAATCCACGTGCTCATACTGTTGATACTGATCAAGAATAAATATATAAGTATGGGGTCGAGTTCAAAATAATGAAGCATTTTGAATGTATTTTTGATGAATTCAATTAGCTTTATAATTTATTTTTACTTTGTTCGAGCTCATGGAACTAACATTTCGGTTTTTTGATTTCGCTCGGTTATTTTTAAGATCCCAAAAATTAGAAATTGGATGATTTTATTATTGAATAAATTCTCTTTTTTACATACCCGTTGCAATTGCCTTTTATTATTGACTTGATAACCGATTCGTTCTCTTGGCACATGAGAACCGATTCATCCGATTTATCGTAGCATTCGGCAACATTGTTGCACTCACCAAAACTATTAATTTCGCCTCCGTAGGCGCAATAGAAAAATTCTTCGTTTATCATGGTATCCTTACACAAAACGAATGTCTCATCGCTGCCATTTGGACATTCGCTTGACCCATTACAGGTACAACTCCGCGGTACGTTACTGAGATTTTCTGTACACTGAAACATCACAATAACCGATACTGTGGACAATAAATATACCACGATTAGAGCACAGCGGCCAAACATTGTACAAAGTATTCGCACGAGTTTCCGTATCGAACTGAGCCACGTTTTACTCAGGAACGGAGTATAACCCCTTAAACAGAGAAACTTAAAGAGAAATTAATTTGGATTTCAGTGGAAACCGATAAGCAGCCACTCTGCGTTAAAGACTCGTACAAATCCCTGAATATTTTCTCATTCTCAGCCTTAGAGATTAAAAGTTTTTTGATAGCTGAGAGACTATTGACAAAAATATATATGACACACTAACAAAATTAGCTGGATAAGTTGCATAGCTTTATATATTTAGTCTATATGGCATTACACATATTTATTATCGTTTTCTTAAATATTAATAAAATAATTATTTCTTTGTGTATGCATGTATGTTACTATTCATATATTTTGCTCTTGAAATTTCAATGTAAGCTTAAAAATAACTTTAAAAGATAGAGTACAGAGCTTTAGAGTCGCCGACGCGCATTTTTTGTGCTCCGCAATTTTATTCATCTCTGGGTTACTTTCAATCATGTGTTGCTTTATTTATAAAAAGCTTTCAAAGCAAAGTACTGGCGTCAACAATGCCCATCAGGAGCAGAAGTGAGAGCATTACAAACGCTTCCATATAGAAAGTTCTCACAAGGTAAATCAAGCAGAAAAAAACAAAATAACAAAGGAAAATGGGCTTAAGTTGTCAATTGAAATGCAAAGAACTGTCCAAAACATATCATTACAGATTGTTCTATACAAAATATCATTTTTTTTCTGTTCGACCCTTTCTTTGGGCGTGTGTGCATTTCAGGCGTCAAGTGAATTTATAATGTGATTTAAACACCAATTTCAGCAGGGGTACTTTAAGGTTTATATTAAAGAAACAGAAACGGTTGTTTATACAATTTATACTTTTAGAAACATTTATGAATGAATGCGCACTTTAAATGTACATTAAAGAAACAGTGTGGAAAAGTCTACAGCTGTTACTAATTGATTCAGCGTCTACTTTAAATGTACTCTAAATATGTACACATAATAATAATCAGGTACGTCAGGTACCTTACTTACCTCCTGTTATTTAATATAACTTCTCACTTCAGCGACTTTTTGCTCAGTTTTAGTTTAATATTGTTCCAAACTCTTGTAAATTTGCAATTAATCAGTATCAAATTAGTGAAAATAAATTTCATCGAATGCTACATATATGATATTCAATAGCCTCTGTTTTCTGTCCTCTTTCATGATTCTATTCCATTTGAATCTTTGTTAAACTTTGTTCAGTCAAAAGATTAATGGTCTTCAACAAAAATGACTACATTAATTTAATACATTTGTATATAATTATATATTAATATCCATTATATACAATAAGGTACAGAATCAAATATTTTTAAAGTAATCGCAATCTGCTATTTTTAAGACTGTAAATCATTATTTGACCGCAAATAAGAACAAGACATATGTCTTGTGTTATATATACATATATATATATATATATTGTAGGGAACCCACATGTCATTTTGATGAATGCTTTAACTATCTGTTTATAATTCATTTAATAAATTAAAAGAGTCGCTTAAAGTGAATATTAAATTATATGTGTTTCAAGCATAATACACATTTGCCATTTAAAAAAAAAACTGAAATAAATACATTGCATCCATAAAGATATATTGAATATACTTATGGCTGCAACATATGAATTCATACCTTCTGTACGACTCTCGCAGAGCTTTAAGCTTTGATTTTACCACATAAATGTCAGCATTGCTTAAAGTCGTATAATTTGAAGTAGTCAACTAGACGCAATAATAGGGATGGAGATTGGAAAGGTGCCATAATTTAGCAGGATGCCAGGGCACGTTGCCGGCTTGTCATAAAAAGTTAACGCCTATTACTCATACGTCGAGTCGGCAGTGGGCCGTGGGCTGTGGGCCGTTGGCTGATGAGCTACGCTTGTGTCGAAATCAAATTAATCATTCTGCCAATGTTTTAGAGAATTTCTCTCCTCCTTTTAGCCTTACCGGTTTAGCTGTTTCTTACTTCTATCACGTTTTAGTATATTTAGTCGACGCAGGTGTTTTCATTCCGTTGGATTCACTCAAGACATTTGGAATAAAGGCTCACCATTTCGAAAAATGAACGCTAGTTGATTTTTTTTTTCCTTCTTTTGCCGAACTTTTTTATTGGACGCAAATGCATTTATGTAGACAGTCAGACGATTGTATTGCTGCTATTAAATATTTGAGGACAGTGCATTTCTAATTACAAGTCGCTGCCATTTGCTTGCCATAAATTCCATTTTATTGTGTTGAGATTCACTGTGCCAAACTTTTACAAACAACTGTCGTTAGAAATATTTTTGTAATTGTATTTATATATTTTCTTGTACAATTATTCTATATTCGAGGGAAAAAAATGTTGTTTGTAATAAAACCATCTGCATATCTTTTAAACAGTAGTATTTCAAATAAAATTGGATATTTATGTTGTTGACTGTACTGGGCTTGACAAGTGGGCTGAGAAAATTTTGAGCGCAGTTTATGTTTGATATCGCATAATATAAGTAATAATATAATAGGTAATAACAAAAGCATGCGTATATTATGTTAAGAAATTCCAAATTTTACATTTAGTGTCATACAAAAAATAAATACATCCTTAAATTTACAAACAATTTGATTATACAAATTAGTTTTAAACGTAGTTTATTAAATGGAATTAAGTGTAAAATATCAATCAATAAATCACACAATTCACACTTTTCGACAAAATTGTAATACTCTTTGGAAAGTTATTTTTATTGGTTTTTACTTGTATATTGCCTAAAAACATTGACTGTTGAAAATTTTGCTCTTGTACGAAAGCTCCTGATTGTTTTTGAAGACGAATCCCTGTAGTTACGGAATTAATGAAGCTTCAAACCATATTAGTATCCTCATTTTACTACATCATATATCTCTTAGCGAAAACTGTCACGTTGTTGTATATAATTATAAATCGGTATTATATTTGTATAATGAATTTGACGGCAATGGGATTAAATAATCGATGATGTTCATACTTGATTAATGAAATACAAATTAAAATAATTTCAATGAGACATATCTGTAATAATTTTTGTTTGTTTATTTGATTGAATTTAATTTGTTAAGTATCATCAGTTGATATTTATTTGGTGTGACAGCTCTAAGTGGATCAATTTTGAATTGCTCGAATTAGTCGGAGAAAGAACTAAGCCACCTTGTCAATCATTTGCATATGCTGCAGCTGCTGGACGCCAGGAAACAATGCTGGCTGCGCTGCCCGTTAGCCATTTTTTTCAGTTCGAGGAACCCCAGTAATTATCGAAAATTAAACATAATTTATTTGCAGCAGAAATAGTTTTTTTTTATTTTTTCCTTTGTGAACAACACTTAGATATAATTATAACTATTTATTGTTGGTTTTCAGTAAAATCCTAATAGACTTTATCGATACATTTCAGGCAATAATTCAGTTTCCAGAAGAAAATTGATATGACATGACATAAAAAAGAACAAAGTTGGACATATTAGACAAGTAAGAACGCTGTAGTCGAGTGGGCTCGACATGCGACCACATATTAATGTACACAGAAAATACGTGCGCTTGCTAATTGAAATGGGGATACATTTTCGATGGCAACTTGAGCTCTTATTATCCGAGCTTTATGCATATTGCACACGTTATACAGTTAATAATATTTCAATGTTTATTAAATATTAATTAGAATCCACTGCGTTCAAACTTTACAATTTTATTGCCATCGGAAATTAAATTTTGAATTCGAATGGTTGTATTGTTAATATTGATCACAAGTCGTCATGTAATCGATAGTGGAGCTAATAAAATCTCTATTATAGTAGCCGCTCGTATTCGTAAGGACAACGTTCTTAGAGCATCTCTGTTTGTCTAAGCCTCTGTTTGCGAAACTCACCACACCATACAAGCAGAAGCTATCAGCCCTCGTTTTAGTATGCTTATGATAGCAGTTAGTGATGAATCCGCTTCCAGTATCATCTTCACAAAGAAATTCTCCGGCCTTGGCTGCTATGTGAAATTGTTGATCGCTGGTTCTGTTCAATACTTCAGACTCAACCATGGTCAACCTTAAACTATTTGTTCCGTTGGAAAGGGAACACACCTCGGCCACTGTGTTCCCCATCTCGTACATGTATTCATCGAACTGCCAGGGTAAGCAAATAACTTTTGCTTTATTTCTGTCTACCGAAGTTAAGTTCAGTTTTAACAGAGCGGTATCAAATGCCATCGTAGAAGGATCATAGTTCCTGGAAATCAAATGAATGGTCCCTGATTGATAAAAATAAGTCTAAAAAAATTATGATTTTGTGATTTTAATAAATGCATTTTTAATTATTATTATTTTTTTTTTTTAATACCGAAAAGAAAAGTTTAATTTGGGTCATATGGGGAGCGAGAATATGGATAAAATTGACTATCGCATCTCCCTCCACACTTTTAGAGATTGAGCTACAAAATTTTGAAAAACAATTAAGCGGGTATAACACTGGTATCAGAAAATACAGCAGTCGCTCACGCCCGATAGCAGCGTTAATAATGAATATAATACAAAAATAATAATAATAAGAGTAAATAATAATAATCAATATTGTGAAATCAAATTAATAATCATTAAGTTGTTATATTTATAAAATGACCAATAGTGTTTACGGTTCCGAAAAATAAGTACTTACCGATTAGTCTCAATTTTTGAAACTGCCCAGCCATAATCCTCACCAACTGTACGATTAACATTTGTTGAGCCTCCCACCCGATAATGTGCTAGTTTAATGGTATCGTTAATTAGCACACAATGTGCGGCAGTCAACACAATGTCGGGCTTCACACGGACCCCACCACATATTTTCTTGTAGCTATGTTCCTGATCCTTCGCATAAATGACAACGGTCCACGGCGAGATTTCTGGCTCTATGGGAGTACCGGATGTCGCCAAAGGTTTTATTGTATTTGTGTGAAGATGACCACAATCAAGTTCACAGTATTTATCCATATCAAGATTTTCCGACCAAGTTCCATCCTCCTGGCATGTAACAGCTATATTCGTCTCCGTTGCATGTTTCTTCCATCTATATCCGATATTACATTCGAAACCTACTTCTGTGCCTGGGAGCATTGTCGATTCGCATTGGACGAGATTACCGTTATATTTGCATGTCCGCCGCATTGAATCGCTGCAGAATAACTTATTCAGTTGACACGTTTCTGAAAAAGTAAATAAGAGAAGAGAAAAAAATCGACCTAAAATGTAGATTATCACACTAAAAAGAATATCATTTCAAAAATCAGAAAAGTTTTAAATTTTCAAGAAATTATAAAGACTGTTTTCAATTACATAAGTACATATATATATAAAATACCAGAGAAAAATGCGATTAATTTAAGAATAGTTTGAAAACATTTAACGCACATTATTTTGGAAATTGGCTTCAAATGTTTAAAAAAAAACCCTTCATATTTTTGGCAGGACTCTCCCAATCGTTTGATTTATAAATTAATTTTCGCAACCGTTATTATTTTGTATACTCTTTGTTTTTGATTATGAACTATACCATAGTATATTGAATTTGATTTTTGTCGGTCCATCTGTATGAGCCCAACTTTTTTGGACACCCTTAAAGCTAGAGTCTTGAAACCTGGAACATATACTGGTCTGTGCCCACGTCAGACAAAGTGTAGAACTTGAAGTAATAGAAGGCTAGGAAATAAACAATATAGATCATCGCAAATCGAAAAAAACACATATTTCCCACAATTTAAAGGGTTCTCAATTTGTAGGTAGGTTATTAGTGATGTCCTTTCAATATCGGCATATACCATATGGCCATATAGCCGTCTTTAAGAATCGATAGCAGATAGGATATAGCCGCCTGTAATTCCCAAAGCCGATATTTCGGAAAGTGTAAATCGATAAATCCGCATATCCAGCAATTTTAGAGATAACGTCAGCAAAAATAGATGGTAAACTTGCTGGTAACTTTCTTTAAAGATCGGCGTATACATTTTCGATAAAAGCATCTAGCATCTTCCATTAGAGTTAGCAACCTTGGAAGGAAGACTACTAGGATTACCTCCAACATTTTCTGATGACCACGCCTACGACCACTGCCAAAATTCTCAGAATTCTCAGAGTTCACGCCCACTCCCGTCCACAAGAAATTCACAAAAGCTATATCTACTGCAATTTTAAATACAAACTTTTAGAATAGATTATTAGGAACCTCCTTCAAAGATCGGTATTTCTTGGCTACACCCACCATGTTCTACGCCACCTGCTATCAGATGGTATGAATTATTGGTATCAGAGTATTTCGTAACGAGTAACGTTCTCTCTTGTTTTATTATTGTGATTTTTGAGGTACTTACTGATACAGCGAGGATTTTCGTGTTTGTCCCACTTCTTATTCTCACAATGCCTCCTCACATACGGTGGCGACAAAGTATAACCGTCAATGCATGCCAATTGTACTGACATATGTTTAAGAGGTGGTAACGTCGTTATATTGCAACTGTACCTATAGCACATCGTATATAAGCATGGTCTCATTATCATAGTTGTCTATTGGGCACCCATTGGTCCCGTTCGTGTTTGGATCAAGGTTCTGAGGCTTTGAACTACATACTGGGAGATCGTGCCGCCAGTCTCCCGTATACTTACATACATTCTGCCTAATGCCAAGAAACTTATCTTTCTTAACGGAACACGAGAAACTAACATTTTGATTGGCATATACAAATCGGGATCCGTTTTCAAAATGAAATTTAGTATCTTCTGTAAATTCCAAGTTCCTCTCTGTTGGCTCGTAACAAAGCTTCGGAGCATTTCCTCTCCAGTGCTCTTTATATTTACACATATTCTCCAACTCATCAGAAGCATCGATACAATCAATATATCCGTCGCATTCCTGGTTCTTTTTCAGGCATTTTCCATTGGCGCATCGATAGTAAGGACATGTTTTATTCTGCATACATAACTCCACAGATTCGTCCCGACCATTACTGCAATCGTGCTTCTCATCGCACATTTTGTGCTGCGCAATGCATTCGCCTTTCATGCACTCAATTTGATCACTAAAAAAACGAATTAAACAATTGCGTTGTCAGAAAACGATATCCACTTTCATAAGCCAAACCCCATATTTATATGTTCGAGATGCGTTCGAGAAATTTTGACTTTTGTATATGACTTTCGCATTCCTTCTTTTGTTAACTATATTAAAATGCATTTTCAAATATTTAATTATTTTATAATTTGCTTGAATTAAATAAAATGAAATTAAAAAAGGCGGAAAATCATTTCACATTTAAGTTGACTCATACGTATTTTCTATTGCTTGGCTTCCAATTTTTTTTTGGATAACTATAGAGTAAATTATAATTCAATGCAAATTTCGAGTTTTAAGAAAACGCCCAAAAGGTCGTACTCCATTTTTAATTTTTCTATTATATTAATAAAGTATAATGAAACTAAATTAAAATGAAATCGCATATGCTTATGATATTCGTACTTGAAAAGGAGAAAAAATACTCTTATGGTCTATAATTCTTGCTTTTGTTCTTTTGCACTCTCAAATAATGACGCAGTGCATGTTTGTTGGTAATGTAAATGTTCATGAAGAGCGCCTTAAAATGACACCCATACGGAATAACACATTTACAAATTGATAGGAAGCGGAAGAGAATGTATTAAAAATGTATTTTCCAAATTTGAAGTATCAAGCTTTTATACTCCCTGAAATCCACGTGCTCATACTGTTGATACTGATCAAGAATAAATATATAAGTATGGGGTCGAGTTCAAAATAATGAAGCATTTTGAATGTATTTTTGATGAATTCAATTAGCTTTATAATTTATTTTTACTTTGTTCGAGCTCATGGAACTAACATTTCGGTTTTTTGATTTCGCTCGGTTATTTTTAAGATCCCAAAAATTAGAAATTGGATGATTTTATTATTGAATAAATTCTCTTTTTTACATACCCGTTGCAATTGCCTTTTATTATTGACTTGATAACCGATTCGTTCTCTTGGCACATGAGAACCGATTCATCCGATTTATCGTAGCATTCGGCAACATTGTTGCACTCACCAAAACTATTAATTTCGCCTCCGTAGGCGCAATAGAAAAATTCTTCGTTTATCATGGTATCCTTACACAAAACGAATGTCTCATCGCTGCCATTTGGACATTCGCTTGAGCCATTACAGGCAGATGTGAATGGCACGATACTGTGATTTTCTGTACACTGAAACATCACAATAACAGATACTGTGGACAATAAATATACCACGATTAGAGCACAGCGGGCAACCATTGTACAAAGTATTCGCACGAGTTTCCGTATCGAACTGAGTCACGTTTTACTCAGGAACGGAGTATAACCCCTTAAATAGAGAAATTTAAAGAGAAATTAATTTGGATTCCAGTGGAAACGGATAAGCAGCGGAAACCGATAAGCAGCGGAAACCGAAAGAGACTGTTGACGAAAATATATATGACACACTAACAAAATTAGCTGGATAAGTTGCATAGCTTTATATATTTTTAACGTTTTCTTAAATATTAATAAAATAATTATTTCTTTGTGTATGCATGTATGTTACTATTCATATATTTTGCTCTTGAAATTTCAATGTAAGCTTAAAAATAACTTTAAAAGATAGAGTACTGAGCTTTAGAGTCGCTGACGCGCATTTTTTGTGCTCCGCAATTTTATTCATCTCTGGGTTACTTTTAAGCATGTGTTGCTTTATTTATAAAAAGCTTTCATACCATTAATTAACTCTGCGTTAGAACTTGTTGTTGGTATCTTTAATTGCTTTAGTGCTTGTGCATAGTCGATGGATGGAATCCCAAATTTTGAAACGAGCTTTCATCATTGCCATCATCATTTTTCCAGCTCCAACGGCTGACTGTTGTGCCATTGCCAGTATTATACCCTTTTCTTAAGCTAGATTTTTTTGTCTAGACTAGCCTCGTACATTATTTTTATTATTATGTATTATGTATTATGTATCACATTAATTCAGACAAAATAATAATGACAAAAATCACGGATTTTCAGTACCGAGGAGTGCAACAGAAAGATGAATCCTATGCACCTGGAAGCTGACTATCAAGGCCAAGCCAATAGGAATATCGGCAATAGATAGTGTTTTCGGAGTAGCCGTGGTTCCACACAATAGCGTTCTGCACACAATCCCGTAAATAGTGAACGACCGAATAAGACAAGAAGAAGAGCGTATTGAATATGTGGGAATGCGAACAGATGTGGCTGATGCGGCAGCTGCTGCTCTCGGCTGCACTTATTGGCTGTCTTGGATATGCCTTTGCTTCCACGCACGACGTTTACAATGGGGCCCGGCCGGGACATCGAATTGTGCAAACGCGGTATGGTCGCTTGCACGGTATGATTCTACCGCTGGATAACTTCCGTTTCCTGCGCTCGGTGGAGGTGTTCCTTGGTGTGCCCTATGCTACGCCTCCAATCAAACAAAATCGGTAGGTACCATATATAGTATACTTACATGCTCCAAATTATTTCGTCACTCATCTCATCCTCTCCTTTGTCCCTACTATAGTTTCAGCCCAACGCGTGCTCCTGCGCCCTGGGAGGGAATACGCATTTCGGATAAGTATAGTCCCGTGTGTCCGCAGCGATTGCCGAATATCCAAAATGAAACAGCAGCACTGGAGAAGATGCCAAAGGGGCGGTTAGAGTATTTGAAAAGACTGCTGCCATTTTTAGAGAATCAATCCGAAGATTGCTTATATCTTAACATATTTTCGCCTGTTAATGGTGAGCCATAAATCATTTACTTTTTTTTCTATACAAACTACAGGAACTTTCAGTGATCTTATAAATTTTCTATATCCTTATACAAAATGTACATATATATATATATATATATATATATATAAATTCCACCCAAAATAATTAGCTTTTCATTTCCTCTTTTGAAAGATTATTGAATGATTAAAGTGGTTTTTGTGCACTTGTTCGGTTCGTGACTTATTATCTGAATTCAAAAGGCACACTGAATAATCTTTTCGTATACGCACATTCGTCGACAACAAAATTCTTATATAAAAATAAAACCAAGTAAGAGTTCTCCAGTCGAGTGAACTCTACTGCATTCCCTGCTGTTAAATATATTCTAGTTTTATTGTCAAATTTCGGTTTAAAAGTTTTGCGAGGAATCACATATTATTTTTCTACAAACTATACACACTCAAGCCATCCCATCGTGACGCATGCACGCTCATATCCTTAAAGAAAATGCTTTTGCCTGCTGATATTAGTGAGATCAAGATGAGAAAAGGTTTTGAACTATAACTTTGGTGTTTCTTATTCGATCATTCATTTGGGTTTCTAATTAGTAACTTGCTAGCATGGAACACCGTTATCGCAAATACAACCAAGTTCCCCTACCAAGCACACCCTCCCTCTTCCAACTGTGTGCTCGCGGAAGCCTCTAATCATATTTAAATGTTTTCGCCCGCATGCCAATCTAATTTTGACATTATTCCCCCGCATACGTTAGCTTATCACTACTTCATTATAGCCTGGACCTATTAAAAATTAGTTATAAGGGTATAATATTTTTGAGCACAAGTATGTAATAGGCAGAAGTATGTACCGTGAATATCGATTTTAAATAGAAATATCATGCCCAATTTTAAAGGCAGACGCTTCTAATTAATATATAATACACATATACTTATGATTGATCTACTAGACAAAATGGCATATCGGATAAGAAACACCCAAGTTATAGTCGAAAACTGCCATCAGCGCCTGTCGCCTTTCGGTATCCGCTATTTACTTTTGCTTGTACATAAATATATGGAAATACTTACCGCAAGCCGCCGATTTCCGGTCGGGGCTGCCGTTGCCTGTCGTATGAAAAGAGAGAACTTCTCGCTTTGTTTTGAGTTTGTGAAGCTACCCAACTACAACATTCTTTATTTTAAATGATAAATATTTCATAAATAACCACAGAGAACTACAAATATAATTAAGAGGAATACAAAACTTTAGAAAAAATAAGCTGTCTCTAGACCAAAAGTAATTCATTGCAATTCAACCATTAATAATGCTTTGAAATATTTAAAGAATATACGCTTTTATTGAATTACATAAATTATTTGGTGTGCGCTAGCTAAGATATACATATACGGATAGCATATGTATTCAATTACAAGAAATGAGACTTGAAGTGAGGTGAAGCCTTCTCGTTTATGTTCCATGAAATTATTTTAGTATAATGATTTATTAAGAGGAACTTATATATTTACAATTAGAATGGTGAATACGAATGCGCGTACGCTCATTGGCTCACCCATAGATACAGGTCTCAGACAACGGATGCCATTTATTACTGTAGTATGTATATGCTCTCTTGGTTTGCACAGCTGGCGCTAATGAGAAGAAGCTGCCTGTCATCGTGTTCATACATGGAGAGTCCTTTGAGTGGAGCAGCGGCAATCCCTACGATGGCAGCGTCCTTGCCAGCTATGGAGAGGTGGTCGTAGTGACTCTTAATTACCGACTGGGCATACTGGGTAAGAAAACTGCAAGTGTGCTATGGCCTCATTACATAATTAAGCGAATCATTCCCATTCTACTCCTCTTGCCCCCTTAAACTCATTGTAAAGGCTTCCTCAACGCGAATCCCAGTCCGCATGCCCACGCACGTGTCGCTAATTATGGGTTGATGGATCAGATGGCAGCACTGCATTGGATACAGCAGAATATACAAAAGTTTGGCGGCGATCCAAATGTTGTTACCCTGGCGGGTCATGGCACCGGTGCTGCCTGCATCAATTATCTGATGACATCCCCGACAATGGTGCGTGGACTTTTCCATCGAGCCATACTCATGTCTGGTTCAGCGTATTCGTCCTGGGCACTGGTCGAGGATCCGGTGCTGTTTGCGATCAAGCTGGCCAAAGAGGTGAACTGCACCATTCCGGAAGATTTGAACAGGCATCATGAGCAGATTGTGGACTGCCTTAGGGATGTGCCATTGGAGGATTTATATAATGCCGATATTCAGGCACCCAACTTCCTAACATCATTCGGACCATCGGTGAGCTGGCTCCACAATATATCTTATTTAATTTTATTCCTGGTTTTTATTTTTTTACAAAATCAAATAACAAACAGATATTCGAAAAGATAAGGTTACTAAAAAAAATAAAAACAAATTATTATTAAAAAGGATAAGAGACATAATTATAGCAAATAATTATTTCAAGCATCAGCTCAATAAATTTTACAAATCATTTGAAATATTTTAATATTTTTTAACAGAACTTTGCTGTTGTTCTTTTATATTGAAATATGAATTTCAAAATATTTTGCAAGCGGAAACTTTTGAAGTAACCTCCGTTATGGCTGTGCTGCACAATGAACACTTATAAGTAGCAACAAAATGGAATAAATAAAAATTGGAATGCTCACAAAAGAATTGAGCTAAAACCATTATCGCTTATCCCTATTCCCTATTCCGGATAAGAATTCTCATTTTGTCGTCTTCTTTCATTACCAGAATTCTGACTACTCCATTGAGGGTTCGAGTAATTTCTGTTGTCTCTTATTTAGTACTAGTATCTGGTTCTTTGTGTTATTTTGTGTTTTAACTTGACATTTTTTCACGCCGATTTTCGCTTGTCCATCTTATATTTATTTTTTCTTGGTACATTTCTTGGCTTACGCTCTGGCGAACTTTATTACTTACTTCAGTTGCTTTGTGCCTCGGCTTTAAATGTATACTTCAAGTACCAACAAAAATTGAATGCTTTACATTTTGCTTACTGCTTTTCTTTTCTTCATCTTGCTCATTTTGCTGCTGGCTCTCAATTTCAATTTAGGTTGATGGCGTTGTCATACGACCCGGACATTCCAATCTTGATATCGATGATTTAATGACGCGCAACTCGAAACGCTCATCTTCCGATGCCGGTGCCCAGGCAGCCGGCGGCAATGGCGGCGGTTCCGGCGGATTTGGCTCTGCGTTCAGCGGTGGCGCTGGCTATTTTGGAGGCGCCGCCGCTACGACCAACATTGGTGGACACTATGATGTACTCTTTGGCGTTGTTACGGGCGAATCGATTTGGCGCTTCAGCGCCCACGACATACAAAATGGCTTCGAGGGCGAAAGGCGCGATAAAATTATACGAACCTATGTGCGCAACGCTTACAATTACCACCTCAATGAGATATTTTATACGGTGAGTATCTCCTATTTCCTGTACCCCGAACCTAACAGTCTTCACCACAATATACCAGACTTGTCGCCGCATCTGGTGGTGATTTTGTAGCTGCGGTTTGCAGTCACATAAATCTTCTAATCAGATTGCAGTTTGCCTGCTGCTGCGCTTGTGGTTGCCACTTCTTCACTCTTGACTCACATGGGGTGAGGCATCACATGACAGGGACTTTTTGGCATCAGTTAATGCGACGCCTTATCTCACGTCTACTATTTCACTTTGTTGTTTATTCTGGTTGGGTCTGTTTAAAACTTCTCGTTTTTTTTCTCCATTTTATTTGACAGAAACTTTGCAGACTCCAGACTTGTGTCTACTACGCAACAGTCTGAAAGGGATTCCAATTTCCAAATTGGACCTTGCGTGGTTTCCAAGAAAATATTGTTTACAATACAAATCGTTTTTCTATGAAATATAAGTAAAACAATTTTGTGATTAATTGATAGGCTTGAAATTCTCTACAGTCCCAAAAAAAGAACAATAGGAAATCAGTAAAAACACTCCAAAACAACTGTACACATACTTATTATATGTATTATTATTATATATATATATATATAGGAATTCATAGGAATAATAAATATATTTTAATATAATTTTAATTAATATTAACAAACTCTTTGCCCATATATAAGAACCGACAGAGCTTACGTGAAACGACTAATGGCTGTAATCAAGAATAAATATATATAATTGGGACAGAATTCTTCTTCTTACATTCTTTTTCAAAAACCCGTAAATTAAAGAATTGATTCTATAAGTTATATATGATGCGGTTTTGAAAATTAATGCCGTCTTTGGTGCAATAAAAATATAAATAGTAAATATAAGTTGCTTGCCAATTATTTAACAAATGTTTTCATACGAATGGACCACCTTGAAAGCGACATGATTAACAACAAAAAGAAAATACATTTAACATGAAAAGCAACTGCATCAAAATGAAAATGAGAATGAAAAAAGATATAAAAAATAGTCTTTCAAAATGATCGCACGCTCGCCGCTGTGCAATTGTAGCTGTAATTATAAGTGCTCCTAAGTAACACGTTGCGTATAAGTTACATTCACAACTATGTACGAATAAGCACAAGCGAAGGCTGAATTTTATTTTGCGCTCATGCTGTGCAGAGCATTTCCAACATTTTATTCTATTCTCTGTTGCTTGCTATTGCTGTTTTTTTTTTTTTTTTTTTTTGTTGGTATATGTGATTGTGTGCTATTCACATTTTTCGTTTGTATTTATTTTATGCGCGTTGCCTTTATTTTTATTTTGTAATGCGCAAGCGAGCGAAATGGAAGGCAGTTAACACGCCATTGCAGCCAAAACATTAACACGCTTTATTTGGCAAATGTGCGAGGCTGTACATGGATATACATATATGCTTGTATATGTGGGTGTGTCTGCGTATACATTGGCAAGGACACGGAGACTTGTGCTGTGTACTCTAATATATGTGGCACACACACACACACACACACACACACACCTACTTAAAAACGCACAGGCTACACTTAACCCAAATCACAGCAGCAGCAGCAGCAGCAAACGACAGCAGTCAACAGTCAGAGTCGTCCTCATCCCCATCCGTAGACACATCGTCATCGCCAGTCGACGTTGTCACCATTTGCCATATTAAAACTAAGTATCTGTATGTGTACGTATTTTAAGTGCACACAAATACACACACACACACATCAAGAAACCGTAAATTGCCAACGCATATATCACGATTATAGCGCATATATACATACGTATTTATTTTACTTCATTATGCTCGCACGATGCCAGCGGCAAAAGTCAGGCCCACTGCAATTCTGCGATGAGGTTTATATTGCATTCAGTAATGGCATATATTGTAATCATATATGTATGTGTGCATGTATCAAGCACTCCATTCGTTAAGCTTAAGAAATGAATTTCCAGAAATTATACATAATACTATATGTGGAAAAATATGCAATGGGAATGAATACCACTCATAATTATGCAGATCTCATTGTTAATAACAAAAGCATTAATTGCGTCTGCAGGAAGCCAAATCAGATAGTTTAACTCTGTTCTTGCAATAATTTCAAATATACATATACATATGAATTAATCGGTACGTATTTGTGTTTGCAAGAGAGTCAGAATGAAACAAATTAATTTAAAGTTTCTTAGTGAACTTCATAAATTTTAAGAAAAAAACACTTAAATCAAATTAAACAATTAATCAATTCTAATAATAAACTGACAAAGTCACACAAAGGCAAAACAGAAAGATCACATAATAACAAATCTAAGTCCTCTGGACTTTTGTCATATTCTATTTTGCTATACATGAAAGAAAACGGTGCAATGTGTGCCAAAGATTTATTTGCATATCTGTACTGAAATCGTTGGGTTAATTTACATTGCACCCATTTGGATTTTAAGTTATGCATGACATCGATTTTACAGATGCATTTTGTGGTGCATTTTAAAAACCCACACACACACATGATAACAAAAATAATAATAACCACAGCAAACAACACCAGCAGCAGCAGAAATCCGCCTGTAATCCTGAAAGGATTTAACTTGGCATACATGCAACTCATGGATATGTGTTAAGCCAGCAATGAGTCAGACTATCATTCCGTGTATGTGTGTCAGTGTGGGATATTTGAGCGGACCTGTAACTTTAAGTTTAGGACACAAAACGATCTAAAATAACAGTTTACACGACATAGAACGACCTGAAATAATTGTTACGAATGTAAACTCTGAAAATACATGTCAAAGTTCCTAGAGTTAAATGGTATAAGAAAACGTTTTTTTTTAATACATAATTATTATATTTATTATAAGAGAACACTAACAAGTGCCTTAGATCTAAGTCATATCTATCTCTGACTAATTACAAACTTCCTGTTGTCTGTGCACAGATTGTCAACGAGTACACGGACTGGGATCGCACGTCGCAGCATCCGATTAACACACGCGATATGGCTGTTGCGGCGCTATCCGATGCTCAGTTTGTGGCGCCCATCGTGCGTACGGGTGATATACTGGCAGCCAATTCGCCACCGCCCGTCAGCTCATCGACTCCCAACGGGGGTAGCTCGTCTGGGAATGCGGCCGCATCGACATCGTCGGGGGCTTCAACACAGCCGGCGGGCCGTTGCTATTTCTATGTGTTCGACTACCAGACCAAAGATGGCGACTATCCGCAACGCATGGGCACGGTGCATGGTGAGGATTTGCCGTACATATTCGGTGCACCGCTTGTCGATGGCTTCAGTCACTTTCCGCAGAACTATACCAAGTCGGAGACGGCGTTGTCAGAGGCCGTGATGATATACTGGACGAATTTTGCGCGCACTGGGTAAGTTAAATAGTTTGTAATAGCTAATTAACGCCCCACCCTCAAATCCCTCGCCAATTTCCACTCTAGCTGCGCTAAGCCACTTACCGTAATTTATCATTGAAGCGTCGAACCATTTGCCACTCTTAGCACTTTTCTCATGTGCAACATTTAGTGCTGATTATCTGCACAAAGAAAGTGGTTGCTTGAGCTGCTACGGTGCTATCAGCAATAGTTCGACAACACCTGCTACTTGCTATGAAAGAGACTCACCTGCATTGAAGCATTCTCTATTTGTACGCAACACTTTGCAAAATATAGATACATTGTGTAAATAATATGGTGGAAAGAGCTATAGTTAGAAAATGATTCCAAAGTGCACCTTTTGCGGATGATCTATTTGGTATCTAAGCCAAATCTTAAAAATAATAATGTCGAATCTCCAAGCCGTTTACTTAAAGTATGTTTCTCTTAAGCGCAGAGCCCTTTATTTGAGAAAATTAATTTTCTGTTAAAAATGTGAATCTTTTTTTAATCAGCGTCAATTTAATGTATCCATCTCATATGAAAAACAAAAGAAAACTTAAACTCTTTTTTCAAATTTATAAGGAAAAATCAAAATTGAATTTCGCGGAGTGTATATGTTCAGCAACATTAAAGAATTGCCCCAGATCCGCACACACAAACTCCTTTGTAACACACACTCAACTAAAGTGTCCTGCATTTTTCTCTTCTTTTTATTCTTCTTCTTGCCATTTACACAGCAATCCGAACGAACATCATCGCCAGGACTCGGTGCTGCCTGTTTCAAAGGAGCGCAATCGCTTTCGCAGCATCACCTGGGAAAACTATGATCCATTGCATCAAAAGTATTTGGAAATAGGTGAGACCGCAAAAGTTTTTCCCATTCATTTTATATTTTTTAATGCCTCTCATGCAGTTGTTGCCTTTGTGAGACATAACATAGATTTCTGAGCACTTGCGTTTGGAAAAGTATTTAAGCTGAGTCACACAAAAAAAAATAAAGCTTAAGGCTCAGTTGTGGACAACAACAAAGTTTAGGAGTTAAACAATAGCTGGCATACAATTTACTTTATGTGAATTAGCTGGACAATTTTAGTTCTCTTTTCATATGTATCTATATATATACCATTATGCGTACTCGTCCCTTAGGCTTGTAGCTATCTTGATTAAAGTTGAAAGGCAACCGGATTGGCTTACCCCACGTGATTTGAAGATGACTAAGCCTGCTTGTAGCATGCAAATACACAAGATCAAGATACTCCTTATTTTCCATTTTAATGGTATAAAAATGGCGCATAAGTCGCATAATGTATTTGTACCGTAAAAATTATTTAAGGCAATTTCAACGCACAGAGTGTAAAAGAATTCGCGAAATAGCCAGATAAAAGCAAAACAAATTTGAGGATGCTTTAAAATGTGAGCTTCACAAAGAGGGATCAAATTTAATTTAAATTTTAAAGAAGGCACCAAAAAGACAACCCACAAAAAAAAAAAAAACAGCGTGTGGATGCAAACAAGCTGCGGGGCCTGCAGAAAAATGGATGTGGAAGTTGTATAAGGTGTGAAAAATCAGCTTTACAGCGGAAGAAGAGAGTACAGCGGCCATACTCGAGAGGCAGTTGAAGGTTACCAACAGGAGACATCATGTAAAAGGGGAAGAGACTATCAAATCCAAACGGCAATAAGCTACCGTGCAGCGAACAGAATTGCTCGACTTGGGGTCACCCTGTATTTGGTTTTAATGGCTAACCTTGCTCAATTATTTAAATGCTTAAAATCATTATTTATTTTGTATTAAATTTTTGCATCATGTATAAGAGACGCCAAACTGTAAACTTGTGAATAATATGAAATATTGATAAAAATAAAACAATTGTAAGGCAAGAATTGTGATAATTTTCTGTTACTTTGTGCCGTTTGATAGCTAATACACCCCTCACTTTGGAGAGTAGGGTGTCAGACAAGTACGAACACATAAAGCTTTATGTGTGCTCAAAAATGATGCCGTTGCGTCATGTCAAATGTACGCAAATGCTATTATGTTCAAATTTTTCACATCTTTTGTACCTAGTACCGGCAGATATTAGAAATCGGGACCGGAAGAGTAATTAAATTTGAATGCTCCTATAACGGATGCTCTATATCTAAATGCATGTAAATAATTTACATTTATCAAGCATAAAAAAATACAATATTAAGTATTAACATTTGAAGTCGTTCACTTTGTAATTTTTATTTATTTACATAAGTAAATTATTTTGAATGTCTGTCATGGTATTAATAACGCTTATAGGTTATTTTCATCAATATTACGTTTTGCATATAACATGAGAGTGTTATACTGTTATAGTGGCTAAAGCAAAACGCCTTTAAGTGTTATTTCGCGAAGGTAATATAATCAAAATGTCTATTTCTTGGAACACACAAAAATGTACTTACATGACAGCAAGTTACATGAAAAGACACGCGAATCACGGCTTATGAAAAGTATGCATCGGTTTGGGCAAATGAATATTGTGGCACCTTGTGCGTGGATGTACCAATTTTTTTTTATACGGTACATATACATTTTTTGATAATATGGGAAGGAATGTGAGGAGGGATACGCATCCCTACGCACGCTTTACGCGTGTGTTAACATTGAAGTGCGATACATATCGGGGAGTAAAACTGTTATGTAACGTGCTTTTTGTTTGATTTTAATTGAAGGGACAAGCCGTGAGCGACATCTGACGCATTCGTCCGCATTCCTTGTGTGTGTGCCTGTGTGCCAAACGCAAAGGGGCGTTCTTGAAAGATTTCTGCTTCACACGACTCAATGTTCTGCCATTGACATACAATACGCACAAAGGATGTAGTTGCAAAGGATACGCAAACGCCCACGCATGATTTTGATTTTTGATTTGACATGCTAAAAAAAAAATGAAAATAAGAACTGGAATCGAAATCGAATCGAATCGAATCGAATCGAATTGAACCGTATCGCATCGAATGAAATGGAATTATGTGAATACGCACAGCACAGCTGTCCGCACAATGGCCCAGTCACAAAGGCACATTTCTCGCAAATTGAATGCGAATACATATTGAACATTTCTGCTCATAAGGATAACTTATATATGCCATTGTTGCCTGAATTCTGAGGTTCTGTTGCTTAAATTATGCAGCACCCAAGTGCTTGCAATATTTGTTCACGGATTCACACTAACACGTGGTGTCGCCACTTAAAATGCAACGGAGCCAGTCAATTTCTCAGACTTGTGTGCTCGACAAGGATATCTGAACAAAAATTACCTGTCTTTGAGGTGTTCAGTGGGGCCGGAATATCTTATCGATTATTTTCATCACCATGCCTTTGATAAGTTCAAAGCTACAAAAATACCTTATCGATTATTTGTCTTATACTCAAAATTATTTCTATACTAAAGTAATTTTGCTTTAGATGAATATTTTATGACACAACCTTAAATTTATCTTCTGAAAATTCCTAAGAAAATTTGTTTGTGGAAAACGGATTACGTATGAAAGTATTTTATTTATTAATAGTCGGTGGTTTGTGCTTATTAATTTGAAAAAATTAAATAATATATAGTTTAAATAATTTAATTAAATAAATTGTATTCCATGCAGAGCATTCAGCATTCGCTAAGTTTTGGCTCTGATATTCTAAATTAAAGTGGTTTGTTAACAGTCTGAATATAGTAAGAAGGCAACATCATACAAATATTTTATACCCTATGCTTTCATTGCTCAATAAACAAACTGACACGGAACCCATTTCTTAGCCTTCTTAGCATTGACTCATCTGAGACTAAGGTGCGGTTGTAGGCACAAGCCCAAGTAAAGCCCACCCTGTGGCCCAGCAAAAGGCATCAAAAATTAAGTAGCTCAGTCAGCTAAATAAACAAGACATCAAGATAGACAAGCAGGTGACGCGGGAATCGGGGGAGGGGAATATTGCGAACGTTGGTGTCCTCAATTGCCAAGTTTCTCACCTTTCTGGCATGCAAATGCCTAGAAAAGCAACAAACCAAATAACAGCAACAGTTCGCAACTGAAATAGTTGGCATCAGGTGTATTTGAATTTGCATGCATGAATACCGCCTGTCACATTTAGTACTTTATAAAGATGTTGATATTAACGCTTTTGTTTTCGCTTGTTCTTGTCTTTTTTCTCTAAAAAAAAACAAAAAATAAACCAATATCAACCATCTACAAAGGCATGAAGCCGCGCATTAAGAATCACTTTCGGGCTCACCAACTCTCGATTTGGTTGCGTCTGATACCCGAGCTCCATCGCGCTGGAATGGAGGATGTGATAGCCCGGCACAATCTATTTCGCAATCACGACGATATGGAATTGTACGAGGGACCCGTCAAGCCAGATCCATTTGGCCTCGCAGCCGGCACTACAACATCCTCGTCATCATCGTCATCGTCGTCGTCCCGACTGCTGCTTGTCGATGAACAATTGATGATGAAGAAGGGACGCGGCCTGAATGCCACAGCCTATTTAAATGGCATATTGGGTGGTAAGTACCACGACCTCCCATTACAATACAAATAAGCATGCCATCCGCAGTATCACTTCAGCTGCTTGTTAAGTAAGTAAAAGGCAACAGTCAGCTAGGCTATCTCTCCAGCAGCTGGCAAACAAGCAGACAGACAAAGAGTCTGAGACAGTCAGCCAGACGCTTTTATGCCCAAAAATAACATATACATATACATCTGAAAGCAAAGCAAATTCAAACTGAAAGTCAAGCAATTTGCTTATGCACTACAGCAGGTCTATTAAAGCAGTTGAAACTTTCCATTATGTTTCCATTGCTTTAATTGCACAATGATTTGGGATCATCATAAACATCAGCTCTCTCTCTCTCTCTCTCTCTCTCTCTCTCTCTCTCTCTCTCTTTGTCACGTTGCCTAAACAAATAAAAATATGAATCTATAATTTTTCAAAGTTGACACGTTGTAAAAGATAGAATTTGATTTTCAGCTAATGGTATAATTTATTGAAATAATAAACGGCTACTTCTTTCTTGTTCATATACAATGCAAAATCTGGTTTAAGTTTATAGTGTCCTTTTGTCGTTGGTTCATAAATAATCTATCCATAATATGTATATCTCTTATTATGTAGTTCTTTGGTATATATTGTATCCCCTAAATTTATATATTATATATTAGCATTAAAACAATAAGTAATATTCATTAGTCTTTAAATTATTATTAGCGTATCCAATTCTCAAACCCTGAGTTAAGTTCTTCATTTCTGTTTTTGTCATTCAATAAGAAAATTTGACAAAGGTAAGAAGCAAACTCCCGCCTTGACAACTGTAAAAACAGTTTTGATTGCCTTTTGGGGCAGTCAGGTAGCAAAGGCCTGTACAGTCCATTTAATATGAAACCAACACATATTAGTCGATAGACCCAATGAAATCAACCCCAACAAAAGGGATGCTACCTGACAAGACAAATTTGAGCAGATTATCGGGAGAGGATAATCAAATCAAATTTCTTGAAAAAACGTATTATAATTTAAATTTAGCTTTCTCTTTGTACACTAATGCAATTTGTTATCTTGATTTTTAATATTTGAATATAAGCTGAATTGTTATATGACATTTACATTGTTTTGGGAAAAATAATTTAATTTCTTCAATTCAATTGACACAAATAAATGCAAAAATGAAATAACAGCAAAACCAACTGATTGAAACTCAAGATTAGATGAATTCACCTGCTCAGAAAGTGTGATGTGAAAAGTTCTTGCAACTAGGAAGTTAAGCCTAAATGACACTGAAAAGTGCATTTAACCATTGAAATTTAACAAGAAATAAACGCCGGAGGCAATACAAAGTTAAAGACCGATCTTGAGCTGTTCGCAACTTAATTTAATTTAAGATTTGTAAAATCGACCGATAGTTTCTAGATAAAAATTATATGCAAATTCAACCAAGTGGTTCAAATTGTATATATTATATATTATTTAAATTATACATTGAAGATTCAGATTTTCAAACCAATATACTCACATTCACATTTGTGGTTTGTTAAGCTTGATTTACTTTTGCTTAAGCATTCAATTTGTTTGGTAAGAATTACGCATGCACGTACTACTCTGTGCCTTAATCTGTAGTATTTTCGTAAATCAAAAGCCACAAAAAGTGCGCACATGTGCAAGCTTAATAACTTTGATAAAAAGCAAAACAAATCAAATATTACGCATATGCCATGTGAGGCTCGACTCGGGTCGACCAAAGGGTTTAGCGCCAGTCAAAAATAAATGCGAATTCAAAAGAAAGAATTGTTGCCAAGATTTTTATGCTATTTCTCGATTTTTCTTTTTTTTTGATATTTATTGTGACTTAAGCACAAAGAGAGAGAGAAAGTGAGTTCAAAATCAACACTTTACGCTTTTAGGCAGACAGAGGAGGAGAAGGAATTGTTTACTTGGCAGGGCTTGGGCCTAGTCTGGCAGTGTTTACTTCAACTTGTGGTCTCTCAAGTTAAATTGCAAATTGCAAAGTTGGCATTTTGTATGTGAGTGTGTCTGTGAGTGTATGTGTGGGTATGTGTGTGTGTGTGTGGGACTGAACCATGACGTTTCCATTTGTGTGACCAACTGACCCAACTGTCGACCCCCAGCTGCGCCTCTCTGCTGCTTATTGAAATTGCGTTCGGACGGAAGGACGGGCAGCTTTTGGCTTTTGAATTTATATTGTGTCGAGTGCTGACTTTTGAAAATGCACTCAACTGTAATCTGTATTAAGTATGTGAATACTTGGACGGCTTGTGTGCCTATGTGTCGGAGTATCCGAGTATCCTTTTTCTCGTACTTAACACTCATAGGGTCTATTTTGCGACTCGCATTTAACAACCACAACAAAAATTCTGCATAAATTTCTCGTTTACACTGCTTTGAGGGCTTCCAATTTTGATTCTGTTTTTTTGTTCGCACTTTTGGCTGATCTTAAGTCGCGTTTTACTTTTACCACAAAACGCAAACTATGCGTAATTTTTATACACTTTCAGCGCCACAGCTGTAGAACTCATTAAACCAGTTTATATAAAACTCGCTGCGAAAGTTTTTCAACACTTACTCTAAATTAAGGGCAAACTTTGATGATGGTCTATGCGTATTTCATATACTGCGGGGACACTCGCAGCTGCCAACTGCAACTCGAGCAGCTGTGTCGCAAAGAGAGACGCGGCAAGAAATAGCGACAACATCGGATGCAACTCAAACAAGCAGGGGCGTGACAGAGGCAAGTGCCCCTCATCTCCTCCTCATCCCAGCTCCATCTCATGCCCCTGTCCGCTTATCTTAAAGTCAAATTTCTTGCGAAGTTCTCTTGCACTTAGAAGCAGAGCACAGTTTGAGTTAGTTGGCCAATGCAATATGCATTAGCTACCAGCAGTATATGGGCGCATTGGCATCTGGGCTTGGCAATGAACAGGGGTTTGCTCTGGGGCTCGCTTGCCATCAAAGTTGTGTAAATTAAAAGTTATTGGAATGTTGGCTTAGCTGCTGCTGAAGACCAAATTACTTGTGTGTATCTTGGGATTGTATAGCTGTCATCGCATATACATAGTTTATATAAAATGTGCACTCCGATAAGGCCAGCATTCAAAACATGCGGGAGTATCTTTAAAAGGAACCAAATACTCAAATTCAATTAAATTAAAATGGAAATATTTGAAATCGGCAGAGAAAATTAAATATGATTCATGGTTTTAGTGCTCTCATTTTACAATGTAAACCAAGCCAAAACACACTAATAAACCATTTATTTATTTATTTAATGTTGACTAAAAAAAACTTTTTAAAAAATGTTGAAATAGTATTCTTAAATTACCTTTAAAATTAAATTAATTAAAATTAAAATTGAGTAAATAAAAAAATAAATATTAATAATAATTATAATAATAATAATAATAATAATAAGAATAATAATAATAATATTTGTCTAAAAAGTTTTACTTTTCTGGACTTATAAAACGTACTAAACATGTCTTGAAAAAGTATATTGTTGCTTTAAGTGTTTTGGGGTTAGCTTCTTAAAACTAGATTTTAAGAGTTTCAGCTTAAAGATTTTAAAAAAAGTTTTAAAAAGAACCATTAATTCAACTAGCATTTTCCATTTTAACTTTGGCAAGAGCTACCGATGCAACTAACTGAAGACACACAACCAGTCACTAAAGGAGTGCATATTGAGCCACAAAAGCAGCATGTCCTGGACAAAACAAACAGCAGAGATGCAACTTGAGTGACTTGTGGTTGGTAACCGAAGGGGCTTGGGTTGGCTGTAATAGGTTGAAGTGGGTTGGGTTGGTTGAAACACCAGCCAGAGTAAACAAAATGTTCGTTTCAATTAGTGCAAGAGGAAGAAATGCTGCAAGACTAAATCCGCCCCAGCAAAACAAACTCACCCAAAAAACCCATTGAGGCAGAGCAAAAAACAAAAAAAATACTTAACAAATGCAGCAGTAGAAGATGATAAAATGCCTGAAATGCGACAAACAGCTGTCAGTTTGACAGGCGAGGCCACAGCACAGGCCAGGGGGGCTATGCCAGGCAAAACACGGCAATGCACCCAAAAGCAGAGTAAAGGAGAGACAGAGATAGAGAGAGAGAAAGAGATAAGGAGAGAGAGAGAGAGAGCAACAGCGACTGTGTCTCAGTGTCATATGGGCACGACGTACTTTGACATGCTTTTCATTTGCGCTGACTTCACCAACTGTGCACCTTGGGTTCCCGCAGTCGTTCTCGCCCTCGTTGTTGTTGTCACCTTAGCGTCGTGACTTTGGCCCAGAGACAAATGCAAACCAACCAAAACTATATAAAAAAATATGCAAAGCGAAATGGTTGAAAAAAATAAGTACAAAAACAAACGCACAGAACTATGCAACTAAAAACCAAAAAATCCACAAAGCAGAGTCTCTGTAAACAAAGCGACCACATAAATCGAAAAACCCATTCACAGAAAGGGCGGAAAACCCCAAAACCCGTTCAACAGTTGAAAATGTGTTGAAGTGTCTAGGTGTAGTCTTTCTTTTTCTCTTTCTTTTTTAGTTTTCTTTTTTCATTCGCTTCCTTTTCACTTTGAAGTGTTGTTTTTGTTGCGCTCGAAGAAGTTTCTTTTCGATGGTGAGTTGAAGGCGTGACTGGCACATAAAGTACCAGAAATCCCTATTGTTTATTGCATTCATCATGTTGCCATGATTTGAATGAAAATTGTAATGAGAAATCTGAGAGCATAAAACCTACACAAATGAAAAGCTTTCAGCGTGGTCAATAGTTAAAGAATTATTGCGAAAAATATATATCGATGAATACATATCGCCGAATCATACTAGGGGGTATATTATGAAATCGACTAGTGGATATATATCACGAAATAATTCTTCAGATATTAACTATATATATTTTGTATATAGACAATAAAATAAGTCTCCATTATATTAAATTATGCTTCAAAGTAATTTACTGCTTGCCCTGAAGCAATTTGAGTGTTATAATTTTAATAAAATCATTTTTGGCCTCATATTTAATGGTCACTTTAGTTGTGAAAGAAACTCAGCTTTGCGTTTTTATACCATATTACTATTATCCAGCTATCATACTATTATCCAGCTCGTATACCTTAATCCAACTCATACCTCTTTATTTATTTAACATGTGGCGCATTTATGTATTAACTTGTAAGTAAAAGGATAAGAAGGCCAACTCATATGGTGGACGCATAACCCTCTCTCTCGATCTTTTCTCTGTCTAACCCTCTCTCTCCCTCACTTACTCGTTATGCTACTTAGTATGACCTGAAAAAAAACCTGTGGAAAAATGAAAATATAGCACAAGGTAAAAGGCATCTTTACAGCTATTTTGAGAGAGAAATCCGCCAATCCGCCACAGCATGAATGCTTTTAAATGTGCATGTAGGTCGAGACTTGGGACAGCGACAGGTTAAAATTCGCTTAAAGATGAAAATGCCGCCAGTTGTTGCCAAATAATTTGCATAAGAGCCAGGATTCGGGCTGGTTAACTTTAAGCAGCGACCGGTGATGAAATGTCAAACTATAAGCCACAATAAGTCGGCTCAAATTGAAATACTGCTCTGGGCAGCCTGGCCTGCTACGCTGGGTAATTACTTCTTAAATGCTCAGCTATTGAATGAGCCAACGCCACCCGCAACACTACCCCCTCCCTGGGGAGGCATCAACTGCTGTCGCTGATATCTAATTTATGCAAGGTTATTTAATTGAGGCTACGCAGCATTGCAAACATTTTGCTTGCCAAGCATTCAGCTTGGGTAAGTGGTAGGGAAGGGGCCAGAGAAGGGGCAAAGAGAAACTTGAAAGCTAAGTTGATTTTATGGTTGGTTTTTTGTCATTTCACTAATTAAAGACACATTAAGCATTAGACTGGACCAGGCCAAGGCAATCTCTTTTTTTAGCACGAGCTTTTTGGTTATCTGACTCAAGCTGCTCGAGCCATGTGTCCTCGTACATAATTATCTAGGGTCCTTGAAAAACAGCATGCGGTCGTTGGCTGCTTGTAAAAGTACGATTTTAACTCAACCGCTCGGTCCTTACCATTAAATGAAAATGAAAATAAAAATTAAAAAGAATTAAAATAGAAAATTTACCATGGAAATGCCAAAAAGCGTATTTCTTCGTGAAGTTAAATGCAAAATGGAGCGTTTTGATAAAAAGCTTAGTTGGAGTCGGGGGCATTTAGACATGCTTCTCTAATTTGCGTCCATTCACACTGACTGTGCCAGATATATATATATATATATATATAATATAATATACATCTGGCTCAGCTTTCTGCCAGAGGTCGTGACTTATCTGGCTAGACCTTTTAGCAATTGGTTGCCAGCCTTTGCAAGCGGGGGTCCAAAGTGTTTGCTCCTCCTGTCAAGTGACAGGTTGAGTGTTTCCGAACTACTAAAACTACCATTGGGGTTAGAATACTTATGAAAGAAGAAATAAAGCACGCTACTTATATTGAGATTCGCTCAGTGCGTGTGTGTTGTCTGGCAATAATGTATGGCACAAGAGTACTTGTTTGAGTGTTGCTGGCAGTAATAAGTACTTGAATTGACTTCACACGTGCCACAGATCTGATCTGAATATATCTGCATCTGACCCCTGAATGTCACAAAATTAGCAAATCAATAAGACAGCATAACTCGCCCAGAACTTAAGCGATTAGATAGATTAGGTACACCTTAAAAACACTTCAAACCATTAAATTCAATTAACGTCTTGAGTTTTATTTTATTATACGACCCAATACAGTCTGATGATGATTTAACCAATAATTGTCTAACAAGATATAAATAATTATTAGAGCATCGAAATATCAATGGCTCAAAATTAATTCATTTTAATAATTTTTTTTTCTTTTTGCATGCATCGAAAAAATGTTATTTGCATCTTCAATTATTTATAGCCACAGCAAAAATGTTCTTTAGTCAAAATTGCATAACCACTTAACTATAAATTATTTCTTATTCATGTTTATATAAGCTACAAATACAAATAATTCGCTTATACCAAAAATTTACTTAGCAACTCCAAAAATAATAATAATGTAATAAGCGAAGTCAAACATATCAGTAAGTTATTAAAGCAAAATATAGTTGCAGAAGTAACAGCGAAAAAATAAATAAAATGAAAGGCATTATTTATTTTAAGACTTTAAAATAACATATGCAAAGTCAAATTGGATTTTTTTTTTCTGACAATATTTTCGACACCTCGACAGTAAAAACTTGTCAAATTGAATACCAATCTTAAATGCAAATTGAAAAGCACTTTTACGCCACTTCGCAGTTGCGAAGACTCACACGAGATATTGAAAAAAAAGAATGAACAGCAATATGACAATGCTCGGGTGCTTATTATGGCACTTTGGTTTATTGTCTAAATATTTATGCAAAATACGTGCACAAGTCTTTAATCTCGTTCATAACTTTGCCGAATTGTTTGATATGCAGAAAATTGAAAAGCAAAACTTTCCCGAAGACGACAACGGCACTCACACAGTTACACGCTTTCACACACACACACACACACACACACACACACACACACACACACACACACACACACACACACACACACACGCTCTTTTATAAGACAATGCCAAGAGTAGGCAGCTCTTGAGGCACATAAACGAAACAGTCGAAGACAAAGCGACAACAAACACTACAAAGCAACAATGACGTTGTTGTCAGCAACAATAATAACAACACAATACACAGACACTTGAGCACATTGACAAATACTCTTTCAAGGGAGTGAACTTCAAAAGCATTGAAGCACATCTGTTTTCGCAGACGTTTGCATTTCAATTTGTATTTACCTGCATGCCATAAGACAAATACAATGGAGCCAGTGAAAAAAGATCCAAAACTCATTCAACATATATGTATCATTCAAAGCAAATATGTATTCGCTCAAAGGTATGCTAAGCTGGGATTACCCGACAACAGAGACATCTATTACAGCCTGTGCATTTTGCTGGAAAATAACGTACATACGTCATTGGATAATCAAAGTCAGTTTATCTTAGTTACGCTCGATCTACTTTCCGAAATAAAAGTTTAATAAAAGGTAAAATGCCTTGATGATATTTGGACAATTTTATTTTTTAAATAATTGTATTAAAAAAATGCACAATTGTTCCATAGAAAATTTAAGAAGGTATATTAATGAACAGAGAAACAAAAATATATATTAAAAGAGAAATATTTGGACTGACAGCGATTGTCTAACCCACTTTATGTGATATTAAAGTAGTATATTAAACATAATGCTGAAGTCGAAAGAATGATTTTCATGACATTTTTTCTGCATTTGTAGAAAGAATGTTACTAGTATAAATATACAATCGAAATTAGCATTGTGGATTAAAACGGAAGCAAGCTTCTTACTTTAAGATACTTAATTCCTTTAATTCAAAATTATTTAAAGAATATACGCACATATAAGTGTAAGTAGATATACATTAAACCCCTTATGCATTACAATCAAACATACGACGCGTCGTATACGTAATAGGACAATATAATAAGACGAGCAGACCGACAAATACATTATTGCCTGGCTGCCTAACTCTTATCGCATTCCACGCAGCAAGCAAGCAACATAAGCCACATATTAATATGCAACAATATCATAAATCGTTGCTCTCTGCCTCTGACACTGTCTCACTATCTCTTGTTTTATTATGTTTATTATGTTATAGTTACCACCGTGGAGCCAAACAACATGTTTACAACATGTATACCAATTGGTGGCAACTATACGGCAAGTGGAGGTGGCGTATTTGCGCCAACAACACTGGCGAATGCCTCAACGGATACATTGGCATCCGGATTCGAGGCAGCGGGATATGCTGCCTATTCGACGGCGTTGAGCGTGACAATTGCCATCGGTTGCAGTCTCCTCATATTGAATGTACTGATATTCGCTGGCGTCTACTATCAGCGGGACAAGACGCGGCTGGAGGTGAAAACTCTGCAGAAGCAGTACCAACAGCGCAGCATGCATCAACAGGTGCCATATCCGCCGGAGCCCATCAAGCATGCCCATTATCATATGGGTCACTCGCAGAGCGCCAATGTGATTGTTGATGTCGAGAGTCATGGCCAGGATCAGGCCGGCCAGACGGCAATGTTGCTTCAGGCGGCTGCCGCTGCTGCCGCAGCAGCCAATGAAGCATCGAAGCCGCCACCGCCACATATATGTGCCAACACAGGCATGCAACAACAGCAGCAGCAGCAGCAGCAACAACAACAACAGCAAGCTAGCGGCAGTGGACATGCACTTAATAATGTGGCTGTAGATGCCACAAAAGTCGTGGATAGCATGCCCAATGTTACCTACAGTACCAGCAGCAAACACCAACAGCAACAGCAGCAGCAACAGCAACAGCAACAACAACAACAACAACATATGCAAATCAAGAGCTTGGGCGGCGGTGGCACACAAACATTCGGACGTGGCGGTGGCAACAGTGGCAGCGGGAACGTACCAAGCACTTCCTCCGTTGTTGTGTCTGGCAGCAGCGTCAGCTACAATCCTGGCCTAATGACATTGCCAAAGGCAAGCCAATTGCATCATGCGGCAACATTAAATTATGCGCGCAACACGGCTGCCTTAAATTTGGCCGGTGGCGGCACCGCTCTCGTCGATAGTCGCGGCAATGTGCTGCTCACCAGCTCAGCAGCGACTGGTGGCAATGTCGATTGCACGATGACGCTGCCACGCAATCTCAATCGCCACAATCCAACGACAGGTGAGTGTGTGTTGTTTTTATCAAAAATTCACTTTTTAAGAGAGGTCCACACTCAGAAGAAAAAATACAACGAAAAAGAGGGTAGCTCACCCTATTTTCAAAATGTCTATTTTTAAAATAGAAAGATAGATTTTGCGAAAATCGTACACAACAACCGAGAGAATGAATGAATGAGTTATAATAATAGATAGTATTTCTGAAAAGTTAAAAAAGAAAACAGCTTTTAGGATTGTAGATTTACGGCAAGCGTTTCTCACTTTAAAAATGTATGTCCTTTATTTAACAATTGACTTATGAAAAAACGAAGAAGCTATCTGATTTCATGTCTCTTTTTATAAAATGTAGGTCGTATCTTTTTCTGTATGTACCATATATAAGCAAGGAGAGTGCTGCCGCAAATCCAATTGACCGAATTGGTTTTGATGCAGCCACGATAAAATTGTGTGTTTTTCCTCGTCAGTTTTCTGCTCTTCACGTGGCTGCTACGTGCGGCGTTCACTCAATAAATGCAGCAACAGACAGACAGAAACAAGTCGGTCGTGTATGGAAACAATATTGCAGAGAAGGTAGCCAACTGGCTGAAATATGATAAGATTTCATTTCATTATGAATCGCATTTCATTTTGATTCCATTTTCCATCTCCTGCTGCTCCCGCTGCTGAGCTTGCATTTTATATTCGATTAAAAGAGCCTCTCCATAAATCTGCATGCTTAAACTGAGTGAAATCACAATATTCCTAAAAGTGTACTGTGGTCTATAGTTGAAAAAATATATGTATGATTTAAAGAACATATGTACTTCTAATCTACATAAGTGATTCCATTAGTTTATTTTATTAGAACACAAAACGGATTAAAAAAATATTAAATTTCTAACAAAATGCGGCAAGTGAGCTTAAGCAATATCGTAGCAGATAAGTTCTGTAAAAAAAAAACATTTCGGTTCATACACAAATATATGTGAATGATTTATATTATATAACACTATTTTTGTTTGCATTCCAAACAAACATTTGTGGTACGTTCCTTTACTTCAAGAAAGCATAACAAAAATTTTCAAACTTGTTGTAGGCTTTCGAAATGTAATGCATTTTCTCATGTCTAACACAAATTTAAGAACACCTCTTAGGTGTGAGAAAATACATTTAATAGAACCAGTTACATAAAAAAAATGGCAGGCTTGGGATCAGGATTAATCTTATACCGAAAAATGACTTGCATAATAAGTGTACACATATAGAGAAAGCTATACATATATAAATAAGCGATTGGAAACACAGCTGGTAGTCTGACTGCTTGTTAGGCTGCCAAACAAAAAAGAAATATTTGAAAAATGAATGACTGGGCAATATTGTGAAGGAGCGCCAGCTACACATAAATTTCCTGCAAAATCACCCCAAGCAAACAAAAATATTGCTCAATCAAATCGAATGACCCTCATACTGTGTCTGACAAGACCAAAAACTGAACCCCTGGCTATACACTCAAATATGTCCGCGTGAAAATTGAAATTGTACTAATCAGCCACAGACCCCGCTCGACGCAAACCCAATGGTTCGATGCCAAGGCCTGACTTATCCATTGGCAGCAAAAAAATATCCGGGGCGGCAAAATACAAAAAGCAAAACTATAGCAAAGAAGGAAAATAAAATAAAAAGAAACCAGGCCGAGAAAACATTTACGCTTCGCTGAAGTTCAACGCACTTGTGACTTTTGACCACAGTTTGCTGTCTGACAGCCCGTGCCAACCCCCACACCACAACCCCAAGTCCTACCCCAACCCTGATATCAGCCCCAGTTCAGAAATCGGCTTCAGCTCCGCATCCGTTGCTTCAGCGCATCCGAATCCCTTGCTGCTTGCGCCTGCTTAGCTGATGTGGACGACGGAAATTGTTGTACAAATTATGCTCTACTGATTGTCAAGGTTTTAACGGAATTTATACCCCGTGCTTTGGTAACGTTGGGTATATTGTGATTATTTTCCATATATATTTTATTTTTTTAAATCATTTTATTTTTTAAATTAATTTAAATACAATTGTGTTTTATTAACATCAAAAAATAATTATAAGAAATAAATTAACGATTTAAAACATTTTTATAAAAACAAAAGCAAAAGACACATTTCTATACTTATGCCATTGCAGGGAATAGTTACAAATTGTAAAGGTCAATTTTATAAATCAACTATTGGGCAGAAATACTATAAGCCAATTTCCAGGTTAACCCAACGAGCTTGCTTCTGTTTGATGAGCTGTTAAATGGCGAATGTTCAGTTGCGGCAACTTATTGACAGTTTTTCGCAGCCAGCACGCTACGAGCTCATAATGGTACTTCAAAAAATATGCCCACAATAATAAATTTCCAGTTGAGCTGCCGTGACAACTGATAAATTTTGATTGTCCCGATAAATACGTCAGACTGCATTCCACTATCGAGTCACGAAATGATTTAACGATAAGATTTTCAATTTCAATCGAGAGCCAATTTAACGATAAGGATTTTTGTGCCATAAACCAAGTAGATGAGATATGCATGTAGATAGTTTTCCAGCCTAGGATAGCAAGTCTTTTGTTGGCCATAAAACGTTTACAGTTGAAGTTATTACCTATCCGCATAAGAACAATAAAAATGGCATAAAATTGTTGTTGGTTTAATGCGCGACCCTTGCATAATAATAAAATGACAACGTTAACTAAAGCCCCGACCCTTAGGCGTGGGGAACAGCTAGGTCAACTGGAGCCAGGTCCTGTGCAGCGAATTATGTTATTTTTATTATGGCACCCGCAGCAGGACATGAGAACGAGCGGGTCGGCATCTGTCGTTGACATTTTTGGTCATAAATAAAATTTCAGCAATCGATAGCAACTAACAACAAATACAATGTTGTACAGGTAAGGGCCGAGCAGGTTATTTGCAATTTGTTTCATCGACTGTTTATGAAGCGGTCGCCCGATAAACAAAACAACGGCTGAATTTACAAATCTATATATATTTTATTATATATGTATATATATATATATATATAAACATATATGTGTGTGTCTGTTGCTGTAATCAAATTATTGCTAACAGGGTCGCGCTTCTGTGCACTGTTGCAGAAAATGTGATTAAATACGAGCAGAGATTGAAACGTTAGTGAAACAAACAAAAAATAAAAAATAAACAAGAGTCTCGAATTTCGCGATGCGGTCTTTATTTATACAATTTGAATATAAAGTGGATATAAATATATTAAGCTGCTGTCATCCCACATACGGATATCTTATTGCATTTCAATTTTTGTAGAAGTTCCCATGGCTTATTTGATATAAGCTTATACACACACATATCAAAATAAATTTAATTTTCAAACATGAGAAATGAAAATTCGATATATATTTATTCTCGTATATCCGTTAAGCTAATCCTAGCTGAAGTCAATTATCAACTATTGATACGATAAAATTTAATCAGTATTTGAAAAATATTTTGCATATAGAGCATGATTAAATTGCCTTGTTAAATTTCTTAACAGTCGTCAATTATGAGAAAGTTATTTATAAATATTGATCAGCAAGCTATTTATCCCCTATTTACAATCAGCTTTTTATTCTTATCGATCTATATATCTTTAATAGAAAAATTCGTTTTTTAGTTGTTATTAATGTTTTTATCTATATATCTTACTAGTTAATTGTAATATTTATTACATCAAAAATGAATTTCCGATAAGTTTTACTATGCATCCTTTTTAAATTTCTGGCAAAACGTAATGTTTGATTAAGTTGATTAAGTTGATTTCCTTATTTCTTGATTGCATTTACAGCTTAGACCTGCTGGCGCAATCAAGTGTCCTTATCTAAATGACGTGCCCATCCGAGTGAAAATTGCAGAAAACGCTGTGTTACAGTTGGGATTTGTAGCTTCGACAAGATTTTAGCTACTTGAGCAGGTTTATGCACTTCGTTCGTCAGCTCTAATTGCTATTCGATAACGGCTGCAAAAGCGAAACAAAAATTGACAAAAGTCAAAACAACATTTTCTACTGCAATGAAACATAATCAGCGTGTTGCTGTTGTTGCTGTCAAAGCTGATTTAATATTACGCATCTCTGCCAATTTTCGTTACGCCCCAACGGAAGCGGAAATTTTGTCGTGGTTAAGTGTGGGTGGGCACCACTCAATGCTAATGGTGGGTGGATAATGCTCTCCACTCGGCATTTCGTCGCCATCTTTAGCAGTGGCAGCCAGGTGCTTGCGTTGTCGGATGTGGCAAGTGCTTCTTTGCCTTGCGTTAGCATTTTCAGCGCTCTCTGCATTATTTATAATTATTGCGAATTTTCATATAATTATGCGTGGACGCATACTTCAAGCTGCCCGACTTTTCGCCAGCACCGCTGCTTGGCTGCTTGGCATTCCATTCAGTTATTTATTTAAGCAGCACATTTTTCTTTCGCGCGCAGACCATAAATATTAAAGTCAACTACATTTTTGTGTCTGTGCGAAAATCCTTGCGTAATTAATGCTTGTTCCCAGATTTTTGTTGCCGTCTTTTCGCTTTTTTCGGTTTTTTTTGCTGTTGTTGTTGTCTTTGTTGCTCTGCGCACTCAAGTGGCACATTAATATTTGTTGTCGTTGCTGCTGTCTGAAGCCCTTGGATTATATAAAACGCTTACGTTGTTTAACGGCAGTTTAATGCCTCATTAGGTTTAGTGGGTTGACTTGAAGTACCATGATTTCCAGAACCATGCCGCGTCTTTTAGGCTTTAAGCAATTACAATGATTATATTTAGAATTTTAGAAGCATTTAATTAATTAGGCATAATTTTCCCTCATTCCTGGCGAACGTTGTATGTCTTTATTTCTTCTTTTGATCTATTGATTATAATCGTATTATTTACAACATAATCGCAGCAATTGAGCGAACAATCATTATAAATATATATACATACATATATATTTATTTATTTTTGGATTATTTCAAAGTATACAAAACACATTCGCTATAATCTTTGGTTC